TGAAGGAGCTCAGGATGTGCTGAAGAGGAAGCAGATAGAGGAGGAAGAGTAGAGGCCCCAGCACAGAACCTTGTGGGACACCATGGGTAAGAGAGGTGGTGGAGGACCTAAACTTGGAGACGGCCACAGAAAAGGAGCGCTCAGAAAGATAAGAGGAGAACCACTCCAGAGCAGATCCTGATAGGCCTACCCAGTCTCTCAGCCTCTCCAGTAGCAGTTGATGGTCAACAGTGTCAAAGGCTGCAGTCAGGTCCAGCAGGACCAGAACAGAACAGTCCCCTGCATCACTGTGAGTCAGAAGGTCATTAGAGACCCTAAGAAGAGCTGTTTCAGTAGAATGAGCTCTACGAAACCCTGACTGGAAGCTATCATAGATGTTATGTTCATCAAGAGCAGCTGTGAGTTGTTTAGCCACAACCTTTTCCAAGATCTTGGAGATGAACGGAAGTTTAGAGATGGGTCTGAAGCTGCTATGGAGAGAGGGGTCGAGACTCGGTTTTTTAAGAAGCGGGTGGATTACAGTGTTCTTAAAGTAAGCAGGGACCTGACCAGAAACCAGAGAAGCATTAATTATAGAGAGCACGCTGGGACCGATGGACTGAAAAGCACTTTTAAACAAAGATGAGGGTAAGATGTGGAGGGGGCATGCAGAGGTCTTCATAGAGTTAACTAGTTTGGTTAACTCAGGCAAAGAAACAGGAGCAAAGCTATCTAGGATGATGGGCCTGGTTGGAGTCGGAAGAGGCGGCGATAAGGCTGAAGGAGAGATGCTAGATCTAACCTTATTGACTTTGTCCACAAAGAAAGACAGAAAGTTCTTACAGTCTGCAACAGAGTGGATGGAGGCTGTAGGAGAGGCAGGAGAGACAATGCTGCTGATTGTGTTAAACAGCACCTTGGGGTTCCCTTTGCTCTGGGACACCAGGTTGGAGAAATAGGAAACCCTAGCGTCTCTGACTGCAGAGTTAAAGGATGTCAGAAGATCCTTTAGGTGCAGCAGATGGACGTGGAGATGGGTTTTCTTCCACAAACGCTCAATATTTCTGCATTGGTGCTTCAGGCTGTGAAGGCTGTCATTAAACCAGGGAGTAGGGTTCACTGCAGGAACTGATCTGGTTCTGACAGGACAGATGTTGTCCAGAATGGAGAGGCAGTGCTCGTTAAACTGAGAAGTTAAGGAATCTGGATCGTTATCAGGAGAACAGGGTGGATCAAAAGCAGCAGAAGAATGGCTAGCTGTGCTCTCATTAAAAAAACGAGAACTACCATACGGTGAGCAGGAGGTGGGGACGCAGAAACTGACAAGTTAAAGAAAATGTAATGGTAATCTGAAATATAAACATCCTCAGGACAAACACTGTCAGCATTTAGACTCAGGGTAAAAACAAGGTCCAGAGTGTGTCCCCTGGTGTGTGTGGGGCCAGAAACATGCTGGGTAAACCTGAAGGAGTCCATAAGGCTGGAGAAATTCATGGCAAAGTGATCAGAGGGATCATCAACGTGGATGTTAAAGTCACCAACAATCACCAGTTTGGACAGCTTCACAGTGGAGGATAGAAAGTCAATGAAGGACAACGCTGGCGTAACAAGGACAAACAACAAGGTGCTCGTATTAAACTACTCACATCCATTTATAGTTGTTATTTATAGAGTTTTCAAAAAGGATTGAAAAAATACTCTTTCAGTTTAAATTGAGGAGGTAATTTCCAGAAGTCATTTTTCGTTTTACGGATGAAATTGATAGATTTACAGACATGTTTTTCTCTCTAGCCATTATTTGTTAAACTGTCTTGATGTTACGGATCTAAACGTGAGCATTTCTTGTCTTACTGTTTATTGTTGTTGCTTTTCTAAATTATTTTTTACACTTAAAAAATGTGTAAAAACACAAAAATGTTGCAGTATTATTTGATTTTTGATAACCTTCTTGCAATGTGTGTGTCCTTCAACTGTTTGTTCATCGGGACGGCGGTCTAAGTGTTTGGTAACCACTGTGTCTTTTGTCGTATCGCCTTCAGTAGCAAACTCCACATACACGGGATTACTTGATGATCACGACACCTGCCGTGGTTTTTATGATGCTAACGGCACACCCGAGGCCCATCTGAAGATGTGGCAGGAGGACTGATACATAGTGACTGGTGTTTAACTTGTCGGACTCAGCCGAGGACATCCAAAAGGGCTTTTGTTCACCAGAGAAAGCCTTATCTGCAGAATAAAGGTCAGGCATTCCTAGCTGCAAAAGGAGCTACCCACGTTACATATCTTGCCTTTATGAGGGGAGCTTTGGGATTACATTGTACACAAATATAAGAACATCCTGCCACAAAGCATTTTCTCCTCGGTTTAGCAGACTGCGCGGCAACACTGGTCTAATGTTTAATTTCTATCCTTTCTGTTGTGTGAAACTGATGAAATATCCATTATTTGGTTCTAGTTATTCCATTTTCACTCTAAAGACTGGAGCATTTCTCTTCTTCCACCACAAGGACTAATTCTCCTGTTTCTTTTCTCCAGAGTGTGTGAGTCAATATTTCTAAATCTTAACACCAACACCGGGTTTTATTTTCTGTCTACAGAGACACTCGGCAACCAGCAACCACCCTAAAATTGCAGAAGAGCATTGTAAAAAGGAGAGGAGGGGAAAATACTTGCTTCTTCAGTCTGAAGGAGCGGCTATAACCTTCGCAGAATCATGAAAGTTGACAGTTCATTTTTCACAGGGTCATAGATCGACGAGCCTTATAAAGTAATGGGCTTTTGGGAGCCGGCTTTATGAGAGCTAAGATAGTTAAGAGACATGTGGAGGAGATGGCACGGGGAACTGAGGTCCTGCTCTGACTCATCCAGGGTTATTCCCCCCATGCTGTGGAGCAGGGGGGGAGGCACTGCACTCCCCGTAATATAAATGTGTAATAAAGATTAATCTGTTGCTAGTCGCCAGGCTGATAGCTTCTAAACTTGCTTGAAATAAGGCTGAAATCACTTCAGAGCCAATCTGGAGACGTTCAGTGAGAGTCTGAAATTCCTTTGTGGGTGTCAAGCAAAAAGATGAAGTAAAAAATGTGTGTGTTAGGTGTGGATGTGCGTGCAATGACGGGGAAATTCAATCAGCGTTTCAATTTGTGTTTTATGTGTGTGTATAGTTTCCTCTGATGCTGTTGTGTGTGTGTGTGTGTGTGTGTGTGTGCATATGCTCTACAGCAGTTACAGTGCTACTGGGTGTTGCACACACTCACCAGGTGCATCAGACCTCTTCATGCCCCCCGTGGTTGCTCCGCCACCTCCGCCTCCCAGACCGTTAAACGCGGGGAGGTTGTCGTTGCTGTAGGCTCTGAGAACAGACAGCATGTTCATCTGCTGCTCTAGGTGGGTCTGCTGCTCGGCTTTCAGAAGTCCCGGTGGAGCTCCGGGGGAGAGGAGGCCCAGGCTCTGCTGCCACTGTTTCTCCAGAGGCAGGGGCTGGTTCTGGGGTTGTGGAACCACAGAAAGGGGTGTCATTGTGGAAGAGGACACCGTCAGACCTGCTCCTCTCTTTGGGGGGAGAGAGGAGTCATCTTGCAGCTGTTTCAGGTGGGTCTGGAGATGATCTAAAGCCAGACGTTGATCCTCTTCTCCCTCCATGTTCATTTGCTCATCTTCACCTCTTTCGTCTTCTTCAATGAGTCCACCCTCTTCCTCCTCTTCATCTGACTGGTTCCTTAACTGTTCTCTCCTGGGGGTGTTTGAGGGGGTCTCAGAGGTACTGTGCTCACCAGCTTTTGCAGCGTCTTCATCAGAGCCAGCGTGGTCATCTTCGGCATCTTCACAAGATCCCCTCTCACCAATCTGTTCATCAACAACTGAAGATGCTCCTCCAAAGGGCTGGATAGGCAGCTCCAGGCCCTGCTCTGCTATATACCCCTGAAGGCTCTGACTGACTCTTGGAGATCCATCATATAAGCCACCAAACCTCCTAAAGAAATCACTCTGGAAGGGGTTGTACGGCTGGTCCATGTGGTTGTTCCAGACTTTTTGGCTTTTTTCGCCATCTTTATCTCCATCTCTGTCAAGAGCCAAATGAGAAGCCTTGGTGTTGGAAGAGTGAATGGAGGAGTTGATGGGAGAATCCTCTTGATGAAGATCCTTGCCTGCATCGGATCGTTGCATTTGGGCTTTGCCCAGATGGTTGGCCTGGAGGTGTAGAGCCATGAGCTCCAATGAAGGAGTGGAAAAAGAGCAGAACAGGCAGCCATGCCAAGCTACGTTATCATGAACAGTGACTGAGGAGCCAGGAAGGGATTCAGAAGCAGACTCAGGACGGACAGATACAGACAGATCAAGTGGTTCATACTGGGATCCAGGCTTTCCAGGCTCTTTCTGCTTTGCTTCAGCCCTTTCCCGCCTGTCCTGGTCGGTGGGGACTGCTCGCTTAGCTTTGGGCTCGCCATTGTCATGGTAGTGGTGGGCCGGGAGCTGGACTGGACTCTGGCTATCTTTCACGTCTTTCTTCATGGAGCTGAGGACAAAGTTGTCCATGAAGGCCTGGAGAGAACCTTGAAAGTGGACTCCATTTCCCATCATGCTTTGGTAAGCCCTGCTTAGATCAGAGAAGCTTGCAGCCCTATCTGTTGCTGTTGGCACGATGGGAGTAGGGCCATCAGCCGTCTTCAAGTTTTCTGCTGAAGAGGCGGAATCAAAACGGCGATCCCCACGGTCACGATCTCGGTCATGAGAAGACACCATGCCAGCTGACGCCCACTGATGTGGCAGCAATGGACCACCTAGACTGGCTGGCACGCCCTTAAAAACATTACGGAGCACATCTGGTCGGGCAAAGATACCGCTACCTGCCTTCCCAGAATCCTCCTTGTGGTCAGAACTTGCATTGTGTCCGGAGAATGGACCAGATGTGGCAGAGCCATTTTGACGCTCGCGATGGTGGCGCTCCAGGTGGTACTTGAGACTGGCAGACTGGGTGCCAGCATAGTCGCAATGAGGGCATCGGTAGGGCTTCTCTCCTGAGAGACAAAGAAAGAGAGACAGAAAAGGGAAAACAGTGAATAATTAACCTGCTTATTCCATTAACTGGTTATCAAAATCTATTTATTGGAACGGAGAATGTGGACCCTAGGGTCATGTAACCTCCCTGAACAAAGAAAATTAGGTCAAATGAGCTCACAAAAAGATGTGTACTTCATTAATCACTATGGAAGAGGGTATTCGTTGGTGAGAGAGAAAAGCAGCTTTATTACCTGGAAAGGAAGTAGTAAAAGAAATGAGTTGGCTTAGGAAATAAAAAGAAAAGCATTAAAAAAGCACACGATGGGAAGAGCCGAGCCACAGCTCAGTGATCAAGAGCAGGCATTCAACCAACAGCACCACGTCTTTTGTCCTCCAGTCATCAGCTCCGCATCACTTTGATGCTTTTGTGTGTGTGTGTGTGTGTGTGTGTGAGCAGGGGTGTGTAGTGGGCATCTGAATGTGGGTCGATCCAGCTTCGCCAAATGAGCCATCACTCACATCAACACCACAAAAACATTTCACCGTATGGTGCTTTCAGTCCACTACAAGAGATAATATTTTCCGCCGACAACAAAACTGTCTCGACGCTAGCTGGAGTGTGTGTGTGTGTGTGTGTGTGTGTGTGGTTCCAGTGGTCATCGTGCTTGTGTTCTGGCTGTGTTTGCTGTCAGGCCAGTGTCTTGGCAATGAAAGTGCAATTTCTCGGACGCTCCCTATTCGCTGCTTCACCTGAGAAGCATAAATCAGCTGCAGCGCCACATAACCTCGACTCGCCGCGCTGAGCCGAGCTCTTGAAGGATATACTACAACACGGAAACAAGAAAAGTTTGTAGGCGACACGTGTGTAGCATATGTTTCTTGCAGTGAAGCCCCGTGATAAAAAACACTATGATTCACTACAGGAAACACAGATCAAAGTGATTTATTTTACGGTAAAAGACGGCTGACTGTGTTCTGTAACATCTACATGTGTTTATTTATGCTTCACATCCATATTCATGAATACTCCTGATGATGGTAGAACACTGGCATTACTCTGCCAGAAGTAGATCTTCCATTGGAACGATACTGGTGTTGAAATAGAACACATCCTGTGAGCAATTATAATAGGCTCGGAGTCGGAGCCAGATCTGGATTCATTAAACAAAGAACAGAGAGGGGAAAAATGCTAAGCCTGATTTTTTCCCCCTTTCATTTCTTTTACACATATACATATAAAAAAGTTGCCGTGGTGAGATTTCTGCGAGAGGGTAAACAATAACTGTGTGCAGAGACAGGCGGATTGGTGGAAAAAGAAATAAAAGGGGCTTGCATTGTGTTGTGCACATGCTATATATGCAGCATATGCCAATAAAATGTTTAGATTATACACATGGAAACCATTTAATAGAAGAAAAAAGGCATTGTTACGCAAGGCTGGTTTGAATGATTTAAGTCGGGCTGTGTAGTAAATCATGGATATAATTAGCAAATGGCATACTGCTCAAGTAATTTATCATTATTTAGAGGGCACCATTCCAGAAAAAGACTGCGATCTGCAGACCTACTGCAGAGTTCTCAAAGAAAGGGCCACAAACACCAACTCGATAGAATATTGATACAGGAGAGAAAAGAATAGGCGGCCATACAAAAGAAAATTGAAGGTGAAACTGCTGAGGAGTGTAGAAAGCAGGAATACGAGAGAAAGCAAAGAAAGAGAAAGAGAGCATGCAGAGACAACGCTGACTGGAGAGAGAAGCACGGTGATTTGATATCTTTTCTCTTACACCAGAGTGTCTGTGAAGCATAGAGTATGTTTAAAATAAACTATATGAGATGAGCTTTTAACCCAATAAGTGCTTCTCCTGTGAGCTGCCGAACAGAGGCTCAGTGCTGATTTAATAAGGAAACGTCCCTGATGCAAATGATCATTCTCAATTCCTCTAACTGGACAAAATGATATTCTAGCAGCCAAATTAGACAGAAATTAGACTGATAAGACTTTTTTTTTTCATTGTGCATCCTTTCTTTCCTAAGAGATGGTTGATGTTTTAGTGAGAAATAAGGATTAATGCGCCATGTGTTTCTAAAATGGAAGAGAAGATGGTGATCGGTCTGACCCCAACCTGTGATGTTTAAGGTGGTCTGAGAGCAGACCTCCCAGCAGAGCACTCGCCTTACGTCAGGATTCTATTCATATTCCTGCATCTGTGTGTGTGTGTGTGTGTGTGTGTGTGTGTGCGCGTGTGTGTGTGTGCACGCATTTCTGTATGAGTGTGTGTGTGTGTGTGTGCACGCATTTCTGTATGAGTGTGCGGGTGTGTGTGTGTGTGTGTGTGTGTGTGTGTGTGTGTGCGCGTGTGTGTGTGTGCACGCATTTCTGTATGAGTGTGTGTGTGTGTGTGTGTGTGTGTGTGTGTGTGCGCGCGTGTGGTTTTGTGCACGCATTTCTGTATGAGTGTGTGTGTGTGTGTGTGTGTGCACGCGTTTCTGTATGAGTGTGTGTGTGTGTGTGTG